TGAAGCAAAGCTCCCTGAGTCTTCCTGCAGACTGCTGCTGTATGGAGGATCTTGTGGGTGATTCTAGGACTTTTAGGAGAGTCATATAAACTAATGGAACACAGCTCCCTTGCTAATAAACTGGGGAAAAAACCTTCAGTCCAGAGAAAATCCCCTTTCATGGAGCTTTCCACTGGACTGGTTAGTTGACCATCTTCCCTGGAAGCCTTTTTACTAAAAGCCCTCTCTTGTAACCCAGCCAGAGTTTTGGAATTGGGCAAGCTATAGAAACTCTTATAAAAATAGTTGTTTATTTAGTGCTAATCAGAAGCTAAGGTGACATACATAGCATTCCATCCTCCTATTTTTCCCTATGCTAACAATCCTGTGTGGTCGGTGAAAGTGTTAAGCCCAAAGTTGCCCAGGCATCTTCTGTAGCTGAGGTAAACTAGAATCTATTTCCACCTGCCCCAGTCCACCAGCTTAACTACCACCTCACAGATATTAAGTTATTTCCATAACATATTGTATACACTGTTGTACAGGTTTTATCAGTAACAGCAGGATTAAAAATGTGACTCATACTGAGCTATGATTATAATCAAGTGTTGCACTTAAGGGATGAACAGGGATTAAAACCTGAGACTGCAATGCTTACACTTAAATTATTTCTACTCCAACCTACCAATCATTCATAAATTATGAACCTGGGATCGTGGGCAGTGATGTAATATCACCAGAGCGGGTGTGGTAGCAGGGAGAGGTAAAATAGATGCTTTTTTGTCTTCAGATGGAGGAGATATCTCCTCCAAGGTATTTTCACTTTTTAACGGCCTCTTTAAGCTTTGAAAGGTTTTAGTACCCATTTTATCCCTTAATCTAATGAGCCTTAAAAAAATGCCTCCCCTTTCCAGTAACAGTTTCAGTTTGTACAATCTAGAAGCTATGGGGAGCATAAAAGAGGAACCTAAAGAGGGCAGATTATTCCATCCAGAGGGGCCCCAGTTATATCTTGGCCCTGAAGAGTTCAAAGTAACAGACCAGACAGACTTTGAGTTAAAAGTTTTATTCATTCAACATCTCACATTACAAATATTTAAAAATTATATGCATACTGCTATAAATAGTCATTTGCAAACTATTTAATAACATTAATTTTCCACTAGCACTTCAACAAATGAACTCTCTTAAAAAAAGAAACTTGTGTTATAACTTAGAGTAGAACATACAAAAATATGAACTTAAATTGTGAAAATGACTTTAATAAAAAATGAATTACCCTTATTTAAAATGCTATAATAAATACTACAACCTCCCCATACACAGTAAAAACTATATGGAAATTCAGCCAAGTAGTACAAGTAACTGACATACTTAAATAACTTTTCCTTCTGATAATATGAGCATTACATTGGGGAAAAACATATTAGGGATTAGTAAAAACTAGACACCCACTTGCTAAAAGTTTCACTTCCAAAAAATATAACAAAAGAATCTGATGAAAATTATAAAAACTAATTATACTTTAAATTTTAAAAATATAAAAAATAAAACAGTTGAATACAATATTGTCCCAATTCTTACAATGCTATCAATCACAGTAGCTTTAAAATAAGATAATAAAATAAAGCAAATGACCAAAACCTCTTTTATTCCTTTTTTTAAAAAATAATCTCAAATTTACATTAGTAGAAAGATTGATTTCTGATTCTTTTCTTTAGAAACACCAGCAAGAAAGAGGATTTACTAGAACAGTAGAAAATGACATTTTTAAATGTCTGCAATTAAAAACAAAGAATTACACTGCAAAGATCTTCCAGAAGTCTGAAATAAGTATTGCACATAACTTGAAGTTAACTTGCCACAATTCATCACATTCAAGTTTTAAATCACCTTTTAAAACAGAAGGCTTTAACTCTTCAAGAAACAAAAAGGGGTGAATTATCAAGTCTTTCCAACAGCATCCTTATAAAACACTAAAGTCATTCACTGCAAGTTTTAGATTTGCGTTCTGCAGAGGTCTGTGTATGGAGAAGTAGATACTATATACCAAAAAAGCACGGGGCAGTGGGGTTCTTTTACATATAAAATAAATCAGAAACACTTTATTTTACATTGCAAAAATAACCATGTAATTACTCTGTAACTACATTGTAAATACATGGCCAGTGCCATGCTTCTGAAAGAAAATGACATGCTTGTTTACACCCCTTTAAAATAAAGTGATACCCTAGGATTTTTAAACTAATTACACGTTAGTTATGCTTGGAGTGACATGGCAACTCCACCTTCCATGTAATCTGAAGGACATATTATATTAGCACTATTTTGAGTACAGAGTAATAGAGATAATCATTTATGCCCTGTAAATTGAAGTGTAACCAAATAATCTGTAAACACGCTTTTCACACAATCACCACAAGTGAATATTAGTAGAATAACATTTTTTTTTTTAATATTAGTCATGCATACTAACATTACATGCCCACCATTGGGCAGGCTTGAGTTTATTTCCTTAAATATGATTTAAAAGCGCAGACACATCTCTGCAAACACCTAACATCAATTTGTTAAGATTAAAAATGGCTAAACATTCACCAAAAAACATCTGCATTTGTGTATTATTTTTAAAAATCTATTAAGAAGCAGTAGACAATTTGGGATGTTACTGTTAAACTTCTACTCTATGTTTATGCATTAAATTTCAAGAGTCTAAAGACAAACTCTCTCATTTGTCACTTTCATGCTTTTTAAAAATTTCTTTTTTTTTTTAAGTCTCAACTTTACATATAAGTATTTCTTAAATTATATGTACACCAAATACCTGGTGCTGGGCTAAAGATGTTTAAGCAACATGCTTTCTTTTTCTCTGCAAATTCTAAAATAGCATTGCCAGTGCACAACATCCATAATTCAAAATGTATGCAGAGCACTGAAATGTATAAAAAGCAGAATATAAGAAAATAAAATTTATTAAAATTATTTATATTAAAAAATGAAGTATATGAAGATCTCTCAGTAATAAAAGTACAAAAAGCTACTCTTTGCAATATGAAAAATTGAGGTATTGCATAAAGAGATATCCCGTCAGTGAAAAGTGTGCCTAAAAATGCTCACTGTTGGAAAAACAAGATATACAAAAGTAGTGCATAACAAATATACATTATGTGCATGACAAAATAAGTTAGCTACAAAAACACTGTACCGAAATTCAGCAGGTCATGTACAAAGGGAAAAAATTATTATTCAAAGCTACTTCTCAAACAGTGTTATTTCTTGTAATGGTAACCCATCTCACCTGTTCACTGGATAGGATCGGCACAATAAGACACCCCAAGCCACCTACAAGCATTTTTTTAAAAAAAAAAATTAAAAGGAATATTCCAACTATCATTATGTACTTCAGAGAAAAAGGTCCCTGACAGTCTACAAAAGAGCACTCTCCATTTGCATTTCCTGTTGTCAATATTTGCAGGGATTCATTAAAAGGAGCTCCCCTTTCTCTACTTGACAAGTAGACAGCAAATGTCTCCATTTTGACCTTTGGAAAAATAACATGGTATGTGTATCATGTACTGAAAACCAAACTGCCTCTGATAGGTAACTGGCAATGGAGGAGAGGGATGGGGAGGAAGAGAGCTTACAAAAGGGATGCTTTTTCTCTGTAGCTATGTTTAAGCAAGTCTTTGGTTTAAGAGTCTATGGTGGAATCGTGCCAGTTCAGATTCCGACTGGCTTTTTCTACACACTGCTACAACCCCTTTACTGTGGTTAAGAGATGAATACATTCCCTCCTCTCGATTTTCTCAAGATTTACAGAGCATCAAGTGTATTTCAGTCTAATCAACACCACCCTGTGCCTTAGCTTTAACATATGCTGTGTTCCCCACTTACATGTTTATAACACTTCATGCATTACTCAGCAAGTTGGAGTCCTGCAATGGTTTATGTTCTGTGCTAAGTTCCAAACAATATTTTTTTAAAAAAATCAGGATTCCTTTTCCTCACTTGCTCTCTGTTGAAAGGCAAACATATCCTTTGCAGACATGCATGCCTGTTCATTCAGCCAACAGTACAAAACATCCCTGGAAACAAACTTTACTTTGCCCTCTTATAAATTGCTAGGTTACAGCTTTGTTAGGAGGTTAGAACTGGTTTCACATCCCAGAGTAAGCCCAAGAAGCAGACAAAATGTGATATGTATTGGAACAGAGGATTAATAGTATGGTGGGGGGGGTGGGAATAGGGAGGGAATTAAAATGTACTCTTGAGGTATATCTTTAGGTTTTTGTATTTCACGTCAAAATGGAGAGCAAAGGCTGGCCTCTGATTTACATTAGTAAATTAGGATATAGAGTTCTATATAGCCATCAAAAATAAAATCTATACATTTGTTCTTCAGGAGAGGACGTGCCAGTTCACTAGTTGTCATTACTTTAGCTTTGGTAGGATTTGTAGGGCTGTATTCTGATAATGAAATTTCTTTCAAAACAACAACAACAATCACAATAATAAAGAATAAGTGCACTCCCCACCCACCCCCCAGTTATAAACTGACCCAGGATTTACATTCGGGAACTTTAAAAATGTGATTGCTTGGATGAAGAACACAGATCTAAGCTCTGCCTACTCAATTAGTACAAATTTGAATGTGGTGGGAAGTTGGAGGCACGGTGAGACACAATACTGTGCTAAAGATTTAGCTTCAGAACCCTTACATCAAACAAAAAAGAAAAAAGAAACTTAATGCTGCTTTAAACCTTGCTCATGCATTTTTGTTGCTTTAAACATGCTCTTTTCTGTTACTAAGTTAACAGCTAACTGTTTCCATTGCTATAAAATCATCGGTGGCAAGAAAAGAGGCTTCCCAGAGGCTTGGCTAGGGAAGGGGGCAAGGAGAAGGAAAGGGCGGGGTTGGTTGGACAAAGTGTCAGATAAGATTCATAGTGTTCCTATCTCATGGTTACTTAATAAAAGTAGTCTATTGATTTTGTTATTAGCAATAATTTAATTAAAAAAAACAAAATACTCTATTGTTTCATTTCTCTTAATATTGTTCTTTCTTCCTTCAAGAAAAGATAGCATGAAAGCAGTGTCCTCTGGGGAACCAGGAAGGTGAGAGAACCTGACTTCCATGCACTGTGTTATCCATACGAAAAGGAGTTCCCAATAAAGTTTAATGACAAGATTCTACAAAATACCTATATGATTATAGGCCATTCTTTTGTTACACTATTTTAAGTTACAGACTACAACAGCAGGACATGCTATCTTGAGTAAGAGGGAATAGGGAGGGAGGGCAAAGGAATCAGGAGAACAGAAGAGTGCACTTATTTTGAGGCCTGCATACGAACACACTGCAGTAATCACTTAGTTCCAGCGGAATGAAATATGTCTTGGGCGATCTCCTCCCTCTTTCACCAGGGGCTTGTGGAATTCCCTGCCAGCGCGTGAATGGATAGCAGCCCAGCAATATTCACAGTAATACTGCAGACAGGTAACATTAGCACAGAAAAATGGAGCAAACTTTCCACCACAACGGGCCCCCTGACATTCATCACATAGCTGATCATCCAAGACATATGGCTTAACTTCCACCTGTGATGAAAGAAGGAGAGAAAATGTACACATTTCTTAAGTTTGGCCTCGTTAGACATAACTGTAGTCCAGGTGTTTTATTCTCATCATATATCTGTACAATCCAACTGAGATACCTCAGCAAATACTCTCCTGTGCAGTAAAAAAGAGCTTTGCTGGATCAGACTGGACATGGAAATAGCTCCGGATCATTTTTCCTAGGACTGGCTGAACAAGCAAAACAGAAAAGCAATAGCTTTCCCCGGTTGTATGGTCTCTATCAAAAGATGTAGTAAATACTGGACTAAGATCCTGACAGGCTGGCTTCAACTTTCAGCTGGGTCCAACTCATTGGACAATCGTATACCAGTCATTATCACTCAAATGTGAAAAGAGTAAAATTGGAATCTGGAATATACCTCATGTTCTGAGTTTATATGGAGAACACAAGAAAACAAAAACCCAGGTAGTTACATTTCTTTTGCTGAGTTATATTTCATAGAGCTACCCTCTCTATGAATTTACCTAACGCTCTTTTAAAACGATACCAGCTTGTGGCCATTACCACATCCTGTACAAGATGGCATCATACCTATCTACATAAGACACTTCCCTGTTATTTAAGGTGTCTATCAAATTAGCTTTGGGTTTCACAATATATACTTTCTACTGAGGCAGGGGTTTGTCTCATAAAACAGCTAAAGGCCTTTCTCAAATTAGATGAGTTTGTTCTGCTCATGCCCAGTAGTTAAACACTGCCCTAGGTAAATCTGATTAAACTAGTAATTGTCTTAAATTGACAATATTTCAAGCCAATTTTGATCATGTTGAATCATTCTAAGTACAATGAGACCTGAAAATTAGAGATTTAGAATGTTTTGGTGAAATTAAATCTTTACCCCTTTCCTTGACTTTAAATTCATTAGTAGGAATTTTCTATATAAACAATTTCGTAATCTGGAGGATCTACAAATAGATCCCCTTGAATTAAAAAGAAGAAGAAGATAAAAGCCGAATAGTTAGATAAGGACCTTAGCATTGTTTTGTAACTTTGGGAATGACCAGATATGGAGATTTAATTCCCAGAATTCTCCAACCATCATAGCTATTGCTGAGAATTCCAGGTATGGAAGTCCAAAAACCTCGACATTATACAAAACATACATTTACCATATGTGAAGATATCAGAGTTCCAGAGGGAAATGTGGATCACAGAATCACAAAAATCACAAAAATAGGAAAGTGCAACTTACTCCTACCATGTCCACCATTAGAAGGTAGGAGAATTGAACCAAATATATTTGCTATTTAAAATAAATTTCAAAAAATATTCTGTATAAAATAGTTAAAATTTAACTGCAAAAATAAACCAGTTAATTAACTCCTGATTCCATTTATACACAATGTGAATAAATGTATTCCACCAGGTGAAGTGCTTTGGCTATAAATGTAATTTAACAACTGTGTATGTATGCATGTCGATACATGAAAAATATCTGTAACTGTTATATGGATGTCCACAGATAAATTTTGAATTTCAAGAAGATACATTTGAATCTACGGTAAATCTAAAACACAAGGACAGGAGAACTGCTATTTATAAAATTCTCTACATATATATGTACCAAACAAAACTGCCACAATAGCAATAGCAATAGCAAGATTTACCTGTGAATCAATTCACCTTTCTAAAAGCTATGGCAGAAATGTTTTACTTTCTTGCTTAGTTTTTTAGATTCCATTAGCATCAGTTATATATTACTATCCAGAAGTAGAACATTACGTTCCTTCCAGAACTGGAGGACAAGCCACACAAATCAATATTCGTTTTACTTTTTCTATCTAAGGAATGGCATCATTCTAAATTGCTGAGTCAGAACGATTTACTGTAGTTGCCAAGTTGCCAGAAAAGAGAAAAAGAGTGTAGCAAAAATTGAAATGGTTCATAATTTCTTACACCAGCTTTCCCTAACCTGACTGCAACTCCCAGACAGCTTTTAGCTTGGAATTCTGGAAGTTAAAAAATTCAGCACATCTGAAGGGCACAAGGTTGGGGAATGCTGTCTTACAGTGTCAAAACAACACATGTTTCTTTCCAATCTTCTTTCCAGCGAATATGTCAATGTGATAAAAGGAGAAGTGAACTTCTGTTGCAAAGATATTCTTAGTGCTGCTGACTTGGGCTGTGAAAATATGCTGAACGTTAACAGAGATGAATGTTTAAGTAATCGAGCATTGTTGCTGTACAGATTATACTGAATTAAAACAGAATGTGTGCAGGAAACTTAGAAATCCAGCAGAAACATACTGGAGCTGCATGCCTTTAGCTTTGATAAAGCAGCTGCCCGTTCTACTACAAAGCATTCAGGCAGGGTGAAAGAAAGGCTAATAGTAAGCAAGTCATGCAGATGTAAAAGGATAACACTAAAAGCACAGGCTTATTTTCTGTGCTGCTGGAAATGGCTCTAAAGGGAACAACTGGTTTAGGAGTCAAAAGGCAGTAAAAAAAAATCAATTCTTTGATATTTGGAATGACTGGGAGGGGAGCAGTACTGCATTTAAACAGCTTTTTGTTGTTGTTGTTGTTCCTGTCATGAAATGGCACTTATATGGACATAAGCCAACAAAAGAATGCTGTGTAATAAATAGAATATGCTGTAGTACTTACCCGTTTATCTATCTCTCCATGTTGCAGCTGAACAAAGCGGGCACTGATAGCAGCTATATAACTCTGTTGATTGGAAAATGCAACACGCCCAGCTCCTTTTGGGTACTTCAGTTCAGGGTCAGTATCAATTCCAGCATAGCAAACTCCTCCATACAGTCGATCCATTATCATTGCAAGCTCCACTAAAATATAATAAGAACAAATATGCATATAAATCCCCCTTTTTCCTTAGGTTCTGGGCAGTGACATTTCTACTCGTCTATCTAAATTTCTGCTCTTCTATCTGAAAAGAATGTAAACAAAAGTTAATATGGATTTTTCCATATCAGAAACTCTCAACAACAAGGTAGCTTGGACAAAGTCAACAAGCCACTTATCCACCATACCTGCTCGTAAGGGTCGTGGAACTCCGCCTACAAAAATGGTTTTCCGTGGATCCAGAGGTTGTGAGCCATCCATCACAAAATCACTATCACTAAGATTCCAAGGTCGGATCTGAACCTGCAAGTAGAAAACAAGACTTTATATAAAGTTCTAAGAGTCAGAATGGATTTTTTTCATAGTGCTAACTCATTATTATTTTGTGTCCGAGCATGTATATCAATTCAAGGCAATGGACCTACCTAATACTCCACCTATTTTCCCTGCAAAATCAACCCTGTGATGTGGGTTGGGTGAGAGTGATTGGCCTAAAGTCACCCAGCTGGTTTTCATGCCTAAGCGAGACCTAGACAGTGATAGCAATACAGTCACATCCCGGTAATATAGAGAACAGAGTGATTCCACATTCCTCTGCCATTGTTTATCCATTTGCTTCAGCTAACCCATTAACGGAAGTGTCATCTGTACGTGCACATGCTTGGTCAAATGACAGGAAATCCTCAAAGAGGCTTTGTCAGCTTTCAAGAAGAGAAAACACCTCAACATTACAATCAAGACATTCAGAGGGGACTTCAGTTGCTTCACAAAGCTTCCCTTCGAATGAATCCCAGAGCCTTATTAAATAACCATGAAGGTACTGAAAGGAATTGAGGAGAAGAGGAATTGCTTTAAGGAGCTGGTCATGTTTCTATTGCATCATTTTTCCTTCAGATTCAAAGAGCTGCAGAGCCCTAGTATTTAGTCTGAAGGCTGGAGACTTCCCACACCCGTTTGACCATCAAAATAAGCATGTAAGTGTTCTACAAAGCCTCAATAGCAACTATAATAGAAGCTATATCTTTAGTTTATCATGGTCCCACTAGAGACAAAATCAACTCTCCCTCCCAATCAATTAACTTCTATAGACAGAATTCACACTCCCTCCCAAAAAGAATTCTCCCAAACCTCTTCCCTTTATGCTTCTCCCTTTCATTTGTCCAGATTTCGGCTTGTGCATAAAAGTGAGGACCAAATGTACATGGAAGAACTTCAAAAATAATCCACATTGAGAGAGAGAGAGGGCAGGCCCTTATCTTGATACCCAATAGTAAATTATAGTGCAGGGAGGAATTAGGACCCTGAACTTGTAGTTTAATAAGCAACAATTAGCCATTACTTGTGTAGTGCCTCAATAGTTCAAGGAGAAAGGAAAAACAAATCCTGTGTCTCCTGAATGAAAAACTATGGACATACATGCTTCTCTAGTATATGAACAATACTTAAACACATAATTTGTAGTTCCTTTTGTAAACTTCATATATAGCCAAGCCACATACTGGTTTATCTTTAATCGTGGGGCTGGAAACACACAGGTAGAGTTTTCCGTCCTCTTCAATACATGCATCAATCAAGGCCTGTACAGAGCTTTCATCTTGGAACAACAAAAAGGCATATCCTAGATAGAGAAGAAACAAATATGATTTGTTCGCTAGGTACTATATATGACGTATTGAAATTTTCTATTTTGTATGTACTTAGATATGATAACCATGAAAAAAGGAAAATCATGGTTGCATACTTAAAAAAAAAAAAGGGGGGGGGTCATTTTCCAAAATAGCAAGACTAGCTATAGTCTAACCAAAATGCTATTATTAAAGAGATAAAAAATAAATTACAAAGCTTCATCTTCCTTATATTGAAATTTAATCTGAATGTCACCGCTTTACTCTATAGAGAAGAAATAGAAGGGGGATTAAAGAAACTAAAGAAATTACTGAAAGAAAGAAAAACAGGAAGGGAAGCATGTTGAATAGTAGATACGTTCAAACTAAAAAAGTAAGTAAAAAGTGGATAAGAAGTGCCAACTGGAAGATCAGAAGTAAAATGAAATCAAAACAGTAACGACAAAACATTTTAAATAAGAAGAAGGTGGACAAATGAACACTTCATATTACTTTATGATTAGCAGTAATATTGAAATATGCTTTTGTGATGGTGAAAACTCAGGTATATAATAGCAAACGTGTTAAAGAGACATCCATGTTAAAATCTCAAATGATAAATTTCACTCCATGAATCATAAAATTGCAAGGTTCAGACTATCACATTCAGTTCTATGCTCCGTGCAGGAATCCAGAATTAAAGCATCTAATGGCAGGTCCAATGAAAAGCCCACTGCTTTTCCTATTAAGAAAATTTCCTAGCACTAAAAAAATCTTTTCATGAGGAGGGATAATACCATATTTCAACTAACATAGCTTTTATAGAAACTGTTACTTGTTTGGAATAATTTTAGGGAAGGACAGGATACATGAAATAACAAAAGTTACCTTTAGGAGGAAAGTATGATTTGCTTTCAGCTTTATGAGGCCAATCTACAATCAACGGGCCAAAACGACGAAAGCTGGCTGTGATCTCATCTGCAAGTTAGTGGACCAAACAAAGAGAAAAACAAATCTTCACTTTTTTTTTTCAAGGGGAAGGGTTCCAAATAAAGCAATTTAAGCAATTTGATAGTAATACTTGGGTAATACTAAGCAACCCAAATACGTGGAGAAAGCAGATATTTTCAAAAGGAAAACATTTGTGAGTCCAAGTATATATTTAATAATAAAAAAAAGCAAACCGTTTAAATATCAAAGCTTCGGCTTTAAGGTTACGAATAAAGATTTGCAGCAGCCCACTTAAAGTACTGTAATTAAATGACTGGATTTGAGCAGTTTTTTACTGCATAGCTCCAGGCATTCTCCCACACCTAGCATGCAGAGCTTGCATCAAGAGCAAGTTGCTCAGCACGGACTTGCAAAAGGTGGGGAGAAAGGGAAAAGAATGTAGCACAGCCTAGTCACGCCTACTGCTTACGTCATAGGCTTAGGCAGTATCTGTGCACATCATCTGAGCTTGACCTCAGTCTATCTTCAGCAGCACTTGCAGCAAGTGGTTATGTAACTGCTGCAGAGACAAGAATGCAGATCTCATTAGCAGAAAGCAAATGCTTCAAAGCCTTTCTTCAATTTCTAAATTCAGCTCAGGTGATCTGCACAGTGGTTAATATTACCCACGTGCACAATTCTTTTTAAAGGGCACCACGGAATTGTTTCACTCGGTTTAATTTTAAAATAAGCTGGGGAATCTAAAGCTATTTCGGGAACAGACTGAAGTGTTATTTACACACAACACAGAACCTGAACAATTATTTGATCTGCCCTCCCCATATGCATTTTCTATTTTATTTCAATTCTTCTCAATATATTTTTGTGGGGTTTTCATATGCTTGTGTCAGAGTTTATTTCTTCATAATCTGATGTTTTTATCGTCATGAAAGTAACAGAAATATTTATCCTGGGGAAAAGGAAATGTCATAGATATTTTTATGCACACAGCTTAAATTTATACAGTTATTACCCAGAATTACAGAATTAAAAAAAATAGAGCTAGACATCCCTAAAGAATTTCTTTACATTTCTTTTTTCTTTTGAAACAGTCTGTTATTCTAATTAGCCTAAAAAATTAAAATAAGGAGATTCCCTTTGTTTAGTAGACTTTTAAATCAAGGCAAATATTGCCATCAGTTACAGTTAATGTTCATATGCCCAGCATGTTCCTTATGCTTAAATGGGATTTTTTTCAGCAGTAATTCATCCCTCTGGTGAAATATATGATGATAGCAAAGAAATAATGCATTATATATTGTTCCCTTAAATAGATGAAACACTACACTGTGTTTTAAATCAGATACTGACTAAAATGTGTGCCTATTATAATCATCTTCAAAATAAAAGACCTTCATAAAGAGTTTTATGATGTCATAATATCTAACTAAATGAAGCAAATGTATAAAACGTATCTCATAAACTCTGCAACCCACATCGCCTTATCATTGCAGTTCATAACCTAAAAGCTTGGATATTTGGCAGCTCATAGGTTTACACAATTTACACTGCTTGAAAATGCTACAATCTGACATAATTATCCTCTTTTCCATAAGGCTGCACTTGGTCATGGTATGTATTTTTGGCAATACTAATATCCAAATATACCTTCATCAATATCGGGTGGCAGACCACCCACAAACACCTTGCGAGAGTACCGTTCAACTCGCTCGCCATTCTGATGAGAGAAGCAGTGTGGTGATCCTAAGCCACTATGGAGAGTCTGATCCCCACGTCCATCATCCAGAAACCCATCTTCCATTGGGAACAGGGAGGACTGACCTATAGTTGAAAAAACAATATATATATATATATATATATGTGTGTGTGTGTGTGTGTGTGTGTGTATGTATGTATAATATACATAGATGTATGTCTCAAAACAGACCAGCAGAATAATAGCTGCCTATTTTATTATTCTTTCTCCTGTCACAAAGACTCATGATTAATTAAACAGATATGCAATATTATCTGAATGACTTTGTACAGAAAAGCTGAATCTTAGCATCATTAAATGGTGCACGTCATAGACAAATGTCACTAGTTCTATTCCATACACAGAGACTATTTTTTTCCCAAGTATATGCTTCAGAAATATTCTACACCACGCTATTATTGATCACTCCCAGTGACAATTTACAGTGTTATAAAAATGATCTCGGGACATTGCAAGTACAAGATTTTAGTCACATCCATACGATCATACAGTTCAAGTAAAATATTCTACATCTATCTTACATTTAGATCTCACAGCTCTTTGTCTTTATTGACAAAAACAGTAATAAAAAGCCAGAGAAAAATGGAGGAGAAAGACAGCATCCTCCAATCATTTTACCTCTAGTCTCACTGAGGTGGCATACTAATAGTGTCACCATACTTATATTCTCAGAAACAATAAGTATGGTGGGTCTAATAAAACTGGGCAATCAGTGCAGTAGAGCAATTAAAGGATTATTAGTGCTGAGCAGAACCAAGTTCCATCCCTCTTGGCCATGAAATCTGGTCAATGTCCTCAGATTGGTCACTATTTATTTCTTTCATGTATACTCTAAATTCTGCAGAAAATAGCTAGGAAAGAAATGTAATATATGTTTCAATGGTAAAGAAAGCAGAATTGTAAATCAGTTAATAGTCCCTGGTCCACAAGTACACGCAGGTAAATTATTTACCCAAGTCTATTAAAATTGTCCTTTTTTTAGGAGCTTATTAAATGTGATCAGAATACTGTGTGGGTTTTAAAAAAACAGAAGAACAGGAGGACTTTTTTCTTCTTGAAGCTTGTTTTTACAATTACCAGAGCACGCTCACCAATGCAACTCTGGTGGTTTAAAAAAAAGGTTGAAGATTAAGAATTCACGCTGATTCAAAAGTGAGCCAGTAACTTCTCATTTTATAACATGCCAAAACTAAAAATAGGGCTTGTAAGACTGAAGACGGTGTAGTTCTAGTTAGAATCATGTGAAACCACCACTCAAAATCACCTCAGGAGAGCCGGATCTTAATGAATTTTTTTCTTGACAGATTATACTAGACTAGTTAGTGCCTCATCTAGGAACATTACACTATTATTTTTGCTATTCATTTTTGCTACTGTAGTTAGTGTTAAGTATTGTTCCCACAACATACCTTAGAATAAATGTGATTCCATTACAACTGGTCTTGTGTTTCTCGCTAGTTTTCTAGTTCATATAGGATTAACATTTATGTGAAAAAGACATATATTAACACACATCCCTGCATTTTATACCTCCCCAAAGAATGCCATGTTGTTTAGTATACGGTATACGTCATGTCTGTTGAAATTATAGCAATATAAAAGCTATAGACGTCATTCCTTTTATATGTATTATAAAATGCTAAACATACACCACCGGTCAATAGTGAAATCCAGATGCACCAAATGGAATTGTGACATTTCCATCATCCAAATGCCAGTGTGCATGCACACCAAGAGCATTGAACAAGTGCAGTGCAGGGAAAGTGGCAGTTCCAGGGAACCAATCCTGGAGCCACTGTCCTTAGTTAAAGGGCAGAGAAGTAAAAGTCTCCGTCTCCCCTCCCCATCTCTTAATGCCTTTGATAAAATAGCTCTGACACTGGCTTCAGGAAAGGGGTTGAGGCATAGAAACCATAGACATGCACACAGGGACAACATTTTGATCACTAATGAAGTCGTAACAGTTTACCAGTTTGCCATAACCTATCAAAACTGAAAAAAACAAACAAACAAGCTCTATTTAGAAAAAAACAGCACTATGCCAATCAATTTTCATGATCTGCATTCTTCTGAAAAAACTGAATCCTCTCAAATAATTTGAATTCCATAGTGCTGCAGAGCCCCTTTTTAGCATTAATTCTCCAACCGCTGACCCTTTTGGGGGAGAGATTTCTTACTATTGCCTATTCACTGCCCTGAATCCCGTAAGGGAGATAGGGCGGTATATAAATTTAAATAATAAATAAGTAAATAAATAAATAAATAAATAAATAAATAAATAAATAAATAAATACAGTGATTTCCAGATCAACGTCTCAGTCCAGGCAGCACCGAGAAAGCTAACAAAGTGGCATCTGTCGATGATCGTTAAGTCAGCATGTGTGGCTCAAAGATGCAAGTTGTAGCACCATGGTTCTCATCCCACAGATTTTTAAAAAGCACCTATGTGACTTAATGGCCAGGCTTCATTTTCACAAATGACATAGGTAAAAATCTCCCCAAACTGTATATTGTGGTCCTGCTAGTGCCTGCAAGCCGGTTCCGTGCTGTTGAAGAACTCTCAAAAACAAAGACATTGCTCAGATGCAGAGAATTTCAGCTTGATCACAGAAGTTAGATAAGAAAAAGGCAGTGCGACACTACCTATATCACAGTACTCAACATCTTGAGGGGCATGCAAAATGTTACCTAAGTATAAAAATGATTGGAAGAATGCCTGCGCTAACAGCCACAATAAATTGTGATGACAATTAATGTTGCCTGGGGGAGAGACCTGGGAATTCAAGTCATTTAGGTGCTTCTCTAGGTAAGAAACCCTCTTCTCCCACCAGCACCCAGCTGAAGCTATCATTTATGTATATTTTAATTTGGGAAGTTCTGGCTAAAAATACCGTTGGATACCCCACTCGCTCTGCATTTAATATATTATGTTAATTCTGCCTTGACCATCTTGTTCTGGGATAATGCTACTTTCAGTAAGCAAAGTTACCACAGCATGCACATTGGAGAAGCCTGCCCCTGCCCCATCCACCCGGCCCCTTTAAAAACTTCTTCTGCTTTTTCTTTCAGAAACAACTGGTGCATTAGTGATGCCATAAGACATTTTAAACATCAGAAAATTAAAGAGGAATGTTGTTACCTCGCCTTCTCCCATATGTCCTTGCTGCATGTCAAATGAGAAGAAAAACAGCCTTTCAAACATTGTTAAATAAAAATTAAATATAGATAGAAAGATATGCTATTTTCACCTCCATATAGCCTCAGTGGTTCTCAAGCATTAGTGCAGTGCAGACCACATAAAATATATATATTTTAATCTCAAACACATCAGAACAGCTAACAAAGAGATCTAATTTTAAAAATGCTACCTTTAGCTGCTTTGTGCTCGCTGAACCAGAGCATCCAGTGGATTGCCACTTTATTAGCATATCTCATATTTCTAAGAGGCTGCAACCTTGGATTTTGATCAGTCTATCAGTTTCCCAACAATCATATTTTGTTTTCAGTGAGCCAATATCTTCAATTAAGACTTACAAGGGAAGCAACTGACCATGCGATTACCATGAATCCAGAGTTAGGAATGTTAATGTCTGTGAAACATTAACACATTTATCTCACCCTCTAGCAAGCTGGTTTTAAAGAATGTTAGCCATTGGGCTAAATAACTAAAATGCTCTGTAGACTAGAAAACAAACATTACAATGGACTGCTTTCTATGGACAACACTGGGACTCCTTCTACAGTACCTGACTGTTCTTTAGCTTCTTTGCCTGTGTAAAAATAGTATCAATGCTTGAGATGAGAGGTGGGAAAGTTGTTTTTTTTTTAAATTTAGCAATTGCACTGAAGGTTTGGGAGAAAGTAACTGGGGCAATGATACAAAGTAATCACAGAAATCTTACTTATGCATGTGACCAAAGCCAAATGGAGCTAAAATGGGGAAAGGGGCTTGTGGAAAGTGTTCAGGTTTTAACTGCTAACTATGTTAAGCTTACTTTAATGCTCCCACTGTTCTTGGGTTTCACAGCATGGCAGGAAACAACACGGCTGATTTTTGATAACTAAAGTCTGAAATGCCTGGGGAGGGTGAGGTCAAAAGAATTAAGGGCCACATACAGCCTTAAATCTTACGTTTCTCACCCCTATTCTAGCTTGCAATGCTTACTAACAGCCACAACCTAATGATATTAATCAGAGACAAAAAACCATCTGACAGTCTGGTTAAATCCCTCCAAGCATCAATTCACATATCACGCTGAAAGCAACAATGAGTTCTCTTCAATTTATGAAATCCTCAAACAGGTTTTTTTTTAAGTAATTTCCAGAATTCTCAAGGACCAAGATAGTCTCATGTATCATAATGTCCTTAATAGAGTATCGAGCTATTAAAAAAAAAATCCCAAATCACTATTTAAGAATCACTTGCGTTAACTCTGAGAGGAGGAGAAAGAGAGAGAAAAAAATATTCTCAAACATCTGCTGACTTTCTTTTTAACGTGCCCAGCTCAAAGATATTTATTGTCCCTCACATTATTAAACCTGGCATCAGTTCTCTCTTTCTTTCACCTCTTACAGTCTTTACACAAATTAGAATGCCCTTCAGAAAGAGTCAAGGCCTGATGAAAGAAAAGTAACAGCTTGTTCGGAGAAGTGGAAGTAGGGAGAACTGTCAAATGTTTAGCTGATAGAAGTTTAAATCTCAGCACAGACCTTTTGGAAAATGGGTCTTGACAATTATTTCTGCTTCACGTCAAGCATTTCATTGTTTACAGATGCAGAAAGGCCCAGAATGGTTCTGTAACTCTTAAATAAAAACATAGCTACAAAAGCCACTTTGTGTGTGCTCAGAGAAGCTCAAGTGTCTTCATAGCGTTCTCTACCTAAAAAGCCATAAAATCCTGTTTGTGGCCTATAGCTGTGTAACAAAATATACAGTACAACTGTCCTTGCTTGGTGCACTAACAGGCTGGTCAACATAGCTGCAATTCCTACTGAGGCCCACAACAGTGTTGTTAAAATGCCACAGACTATTCTGGCATGTGTGTGCCATAAAAACATTGTGACA